GACCAATCACATTCACTTTATTCACTCGTGTAAAGTCAAGCACCACTTGGGAGGATTCGGAAATGCAACGTTTGGAACAGCTGTTTCCTTATGACTTTAAAAGACAACTTTATATTGAAGTATAAGAAATTCATTGAAATAATATTGCATCGAAAAATTTGAACAATTAAATAACAATAAACAGTAAAGAAAAGTAATTACACATTTAATTGTAATCTTGGAAAACTTCATCTGGAATGCAATCTGAACTTTGCTCGTGGAATGTCTCAAAAAGCTTTTACTCACAGACGCCCTCTGCCTCGCGGCGCTCGCTGTCACTCCCACTCCCACCCTGCAGTCCTGTATCTTCCACTTTGTGGACCACAATAAGCTTTTCTTATGCTGTCCACGTGCCATCTTCTGACATTGCACTGTAACTCCCTGTTTCATTATTGCCTGACGTTTATTTGATGACTCCGCTGCGTTGACCAGCATCGTTTTTAAAATGGCCTCCAAACTCTGCCTCAAATGTTTGCAAACTTGTCTGACTTTTGATCCACTCCGTTCTGCGCAGCAACTCTCCATCTGCTGCATCCTTGTCACTTTATCTCTGTTGAGATAGAAAGATGACCCCAGCCACAGCAAAGTCACTGGCTTTACAAAAACCTGGCCACCTCTGCTGTAGCCACACCAAACAAATGTGAGCCTGTATAATTGGTTAGACCCCAATTATAAGACAACCCCACATTTTCACATCGTTTGTCTTGTCTTATATTCAAGCCAATATGGTAATTAGTTAGTAAGTCTAATATGGACTAATATAGACTTTTAAGGCTATTTGGGTCCCGCTAAGTCAGTAGACTGGGCTTTAACGGTTGACTCCCATCTCACATATGAACCATCGTTCCGCTTGATGAAAACCAAACGATAATAATCTCGGCTCATATGGTGCAGAGGTTCTGGACAGAACTTATAGGCTTTCACCTGCTGATTGGGGTAGAAGGATGAAGGAGCTGATAGTTTGTCATTCTATGGCTAATTTCTATAAGGTAGAGGTCACATCCAACATATTTGGTATTTCCTTGTATCTTTAAAACAGAATCTAAATCCCTACTATACTGGATCTGGGCTGCTGTTGTCTCCATTGACAGTTTACTTCCTGCCCTCCATCTAAAATCGCGTGACTTAAAACACCCTTTTGATGCAGCAGCACTGTAGATTCTGACCGTCCTGCAGTGCCTCGCAGTGAAGCAACAGCTCAAACATGAAGGGAAAAAGTAAATTTCGCTTCCTAACAAACACAAACAGGGATATATCATCAATTAATTTGAATGAATAGAAATTAAACGAATTAAAATGCTGTTTTCTTGGTAATAATCTGATTTTAGTCTTCACCTCTTTCTTTCTGTTTTTATAAAAAAAATAACAATCAGTCAACTAATCTATTAATAATATTTTTCTTTTCTTTCACTGTAGTGACAAAGAATAGCATTGGTATCACTAGTATCAGTAAGGACCTTTTCTCAAACATCTATCACCTCTGCAGCGTTAGCTCCCTGCTTCAGTAAACACCATCATTCATACTGTATATCCACGGCTAATGGAGTCTTATCCTACTCAAAATCAAAATTTTTTCCACTTTTTCACACTAGATCTTTGACTTTTCTTTATTTTCACACTATGGTGGGAGATGCTCACAGCTTAGCCCATCGCTTTCTTCTTTACCCATTGAACACATGCGCAGTATCATACCTCTCTGTTCTTGTAAATATACACAGAAGGGTTTCATTCATTGATAAGTTAAGCAAAAAAAAAGGGTACAACAAAAAAACTACAAAAGAAAGCCTTTTGTATGTAACCGAAGTGAGCTACAGGTGTATACATTTAAAAATGTCTAACATGACTATGCCCCTTTTTAATTTTAATTCAGAACTCTGCTTCCTTCTTGTACAAGAATTTAAAAAACTACGTCTACTTTTTTTGCTCCACTTAACAGCCAGGCAGTTATATAAAACTGGATATGAGAGGATCTAAACACTGCATGTTTTTCTTAGTTTATGCTTTGTAAACGTCCACATTTTTATTATTCACCGTAGCATCTTTTCAAATCGCACCATCCTAGGATTTTATAGAGATATTCCCTAATAGTCCAAAGTGACCAACCAAGCTGTTAGTGTGAAGCTGGCCTTTCTGCAGACAGAACTTTCCTCATTCAAGCTCTGGATTCATTCTGCAGAGTTCCTGCTGTCCCTCCCTTCACCTCATGTTTTCTTTTCTCTTGTCCAGTGGAGTCTGCAGCGCTCTGGGAGGAGAGCATAGACTCCTCCAGTCGAGGTTTGTTCTCAGCCCTCAAACGGCCAGCATGACGCAACAGCTTTTTCACTATGGGGTCCTTAAACATGATGCTCTGAACATGTAAACCATGTTTGAACATTTTTAGTTGTTGAACACTAATTAGGCAAGAAGGTTTTTCTGCATGTAGTTTGCATGTCTCCCTCATGCATGGTTCCCCTGGTGCCCCTCCCACAGTAGCGTGCATGGTTTTATTCTGTTCAGGGCGAACCCCGCCTCTCCCCTGATGACCTCTGGAGACAGGCACTGGCCCAAAGCAGGCACACATCACTAACTACTAATCTCAGCTTTCTTCTCATTCTAACTTGTGCAGTGGGGTGAATTTTGACTGTGAGAGCCCAGCATGAAGAAACATCTGCATGTTTTATAGCTCTACAGGCTGTTTAAGCCCCCTCTCATTTAAAACAGCTCTGATTTATCTGTTTGCTCCACAGATCCCAGCCAAAGTGCCGCCGCTGCAGGGAAGCAGGCCTCAGGGGCTCGAAGGATGATTGCCATTTTTGACTATGATCCCAGAGAGAGCTCCCCCAACACTGATATAGAGGTCTGACCCCACACCTGACCTTTTATTTTAGCTTTTTACTTGCTCTATCTGCTATATGTATCAAATATTCTTTTCTGATTTAACTCTGTTCAGGCGGAGCTGACTTTCAGCGCAGGAGACATCATTCACGTCCTTGGGGACATGGACGAAGATGGTTTCTTCTACGTGAGTTTCAAATTGAGGAAGTTTGTCAATCCTTCAACCTTAGATCTTCTACAACTTTCTAAATATTTCTAGAAAATGCAAAAGGAAGGAAGTTAAACAACATCTACAATGATTGGCCTGCATTTGTGCAAAACAATCCCTAATAGTTCAAACCCTCATCGTAGCAGCATCTTAAAACATCTTATATTTAATCATAAATTACAAGTTTTAAAATAAAAGGCCTCTTTGAATAAGATGCTTATTACTTTATTGCATGTACATTTCTTTAGTTAATTGTTTCTACCTGAGAAATAAACATTGTCGACTTTTGTTTGTTTATTTTATCTAATAGTTCAGGCCGAAGGATGTGGGATTAGGATTTTATGTGTCAGGCAAAACCAAAGGATCGCAAAATTATAATTAAGAAGAATCATTTGTGGCTTATTTATTCAGAAAACTGAATTAAAATCAAATTAAATTAACTGCCTTTAAAAGTCATCTGATAGGTGAAATAGACTTTACTGGAGAAGAAATGAAATCTGCTCATTTCTATGGTGTGAAATAATTTGAGGAAAACAGCATCATAAAGAGCAGAATTCAGCAGACAAGTCATGTAGAAAGACTTGTAGAAAGTTAAAAGGATTAGATTCTAATCCATGGCCTAAAAACAATGAGGGAAGTGCAACTACAAACCAACATGTACCCCTGGGGGACACTGGAGGAGCTGCAGAGAACACTAGCTCAGGTGGCCTTGATAAGACGAAGGGAAAGAAACACATAAAGTATCCATCTTGGAAACCAGCAAACAACTTGAGCAAATTACCTAGTCAAATAAGATTTATATAAAACCTTTTGGTTCAAAATGCTAAGTGACAGAAAAATAAGACTAAATCATCTTTAAAAGAAAAAAAAAATATATATATATATATATATATATATATATATATATATATATATACATACCTGCTAGTGTAAAGCAGAGTGGGTAAAGCATCTTCATGTGGTGGAAATGCTTTTCATTAGAGCTAACATATATTTTGCAAATCGATTAATCTGTCAGTTATTTTTCTTGATTAATCAATTAATAATTAGATAATAAAAGGTTCTTTAAAGGAGAGTTTTTACAAAATTAAACTAGGTCAAACTAAAATTTCCCACTTGAAGAGTTCTGGATAAAGCATATTGACAGACAAAAACATTTTTTTATCTTAAATGCAAAATGTTAAATATTTTTTTCACAATTATGATATAATCACTGCTCTAAGTGTGTCGCTCTGTCAACTAAAGGCATATTTTATAGTCTCTATACTCCAGTTAACGATTAATCGATTACTAAATTAGTTGACAATTTTTTTCAATGATCACTTAATCACGATTAATCCGATTAATTGTGTCAGCCCTACTTTTCATCAGCATGGAAACTGTTCACCTTTCCTCCTACCTCACCTTTCTGCGCTCTGTCATTAAAGCCGATTTTAGCTGCAAGAAGATTAAAAGGTTTGAGGGGTGTGAATACTTTTGAAAAGCACTGCAGAGGATGAGAACATGTGTAGTTAAATCTGTGTGTAAAGCATCTATAGAATTCAAAACAAGCAGTTGACAAACATGAGGCCATGAGACAGAGGCTGAGATGCTGCTGCTACCAAAGAGCCTGAGTTCATTGTGTGATAATAAAGAAATGAACCATATAGAGATTCAGATCCAGCCCTTCTAGAGAATATTTCTCATCCCTCTTTCAGGGAGAGCTGAACGGACACAGAGGCTTGGTTCCCTCCAACTTCCTACAAGCCTTCCCTGATGAACCAGAACCAGCCAGTGTCCAGAACCCGGCCCCAGAACTCAGGAAAGAATCCCAGGTAACTCAGTCCGTCTGTCCATCGACAGCTCGCATGTTGCTAACCACCTGATTTGTGTTGCTAGAATCCACAAGTTCTTCTGATTCTGCATTCTCTCATTGCATGATGGCTGTTTGTTCCTGTTTTCTCTAACTCTGCCTGTTGCATCTCTTTGTTCGACATGTTTTCCTGCATGCAGAAGCAAAAACGATCTGTACACTTTGAGACTTGATCGTAAGTGTTTTGGACTAACAGAACCATTGAATCCCACTCCTGTGCTGTTAAGAACCTCTTTTATAGTTCCGCCTTCCCTCCTCCAGCACATGTTAGCCTTGCTTATTCAAACACACATAAATAAAAGCTTCCCCTTTTTGTAAATACTCATTCTTTACAATATAAATCTATACTAAAGCTTGGCTTTACCTCTTGTAGAATAGTTGCACATCCTCTTCAGAACAAGACTTGGATCCCACAGCAGCAGAAGAGGCTTCACGCCCCCCAGCTGACCCCTTTAGTCCAGACATGACCCAACAAACAGGCCGTCTACCCCAGCTAGAAGCCACCGCTTGTCCAGCCCCCGTCCTGGACACTGCTCCAGATCCAGCCGCAGGGCAGGTCTGCTGCTCTCCTTCAGACAGCACGGCATCCTCAGAGTCCACTCTTCAGCCCAAGAAGAAGAAGAGCTTTTTCTCCAAAGGCAAGAAACTGTTAAAAAAACTGGGATCCAGCAAGAAAGAATAAGACTCTGGACACTCACATCGCGTTTTAAGCACTTTTTCTGTCTGTACCGTTGGTCTCATTTGGTAACCGATACTGTTTGCAGTGAGCTGATGCTTTAAACATCAGGAACTAAACATTTGCCTTAGACCAGCTGTAAACTTGGACTTAGACACGCAGCATGCATCACCGCATGTGGAACCACGCAAACTCGCTGATGTTACTCTAAATTTCCTCTGCGTCGTCAGACCGCGTTAAAAACATGGCAATAATTAAAGGAAATGCAAGAACTATTTACTTATTTAATGCTGAGCAGTGTTGATTAGGAGGCCGGACGTTACCCAGACTCACACGGCCGAGTCAACGTTAGCTTTAACGCTCATACGCGTGTGCCACCTTATTTATTCATCTACAGCCATCAGACAGAAACAGCACTTCTTTCTTTCTCCTTCTGTCTGGCTGTTAAAAAATGCACTATCCATCCTGTAGGGATGTCTTTATGTTATATCCCCAGGTGTTTTTTTCATAAGAAGTCATATTTATTTGTGTATGTATGAAGTAGCATCAGATGTTAGCTGGTTAGCTTGGAACCGTTGGTCCTGATCGGTGTTTTTAAACCTCAAACCACTGTGTTTTGGAGCCGAAGCGAGGCAAATAAAATCCATTAGCGGTCTGTGTGAGTTAATTACAGGCACAGATGTGAAAGTCTTTAAATACATTTAGATTTTGTTGTAGCGACGCTTTCTTCACACTAAAAACGTGAAAAAAATCTAACTTTTAGCTAAAAAGAGACAGAAGTTTGGTCCTTCCTCATAAATCCTCCACAGTCACTCATCTTAACACACTTTAAGGGTGTGGAAGGTTTATTTTGCGCCATTTTTCTGTCATTTTTCCAATATAATGACGGATTTGGTCATTGCTATGAACCCAGTTAGCTCTATAGCCGCCAGCATTCCCTATATGGACCAGGAAGGGGTTGATTTACCTCATAATAGGCTAACAGCAAACTCATCCTCATTTTAAGCAGACTGAGCCCTCCTCACCCCTCTTTACTAACACAAACCCGAGCTTTTCTCATGCCTCCCACCTTTAATCTGCTCACAGATGCTCGCCCACTCATCAGCTTAGAAACTACAGGCCCGTTCATTGATTTGATTCAGGTTGGTTCTTCCGGAAACCAAAGGAAAGAACCTGATTAGAGCGACAGAGAGCAGTTTGCCGGGCGCTGTGGCTTGACTCTGGTTTGATGGTTTGAATGTAGCGTTTAACAGGAGCATCACTTCCTGCGTTCGAGCAGAGCGTCTGCACTGAATGATACTCTCCCCTATGTCTTCTCTTTCACCTCCATATTAGGAGTAAAGTGAACTCTGTGTTACAACATATATGTTCACTATTAGCATACGCAGCGTAGTTAGGATTTCTGTCAACTCATTTTCACCAGAACCATAGTGAAGTGTTTAGAAATGCTGACTAGCTTTGACTTTAGTTCTACATAACGCTCTGTTAGAGGATTAGGACCAAGCTTTGTTGTTTATAACGTTGCTTATTGATTAAAGCGGAGCTGCAGTAGGCGTTCGGTTTGGTTGCAGACGTGTGGAGCGGGCCCTCTTTCACCAGTTTCCCTGTCTCCGTCTGTGCTGCCCTCAGGCAGCTCCTCAGGTTTTCATCTGTAGTGTTTTTAGGCACATGTTAGATCTAGTCATCACAAAGCTGCAGAATATGCCAAAATGTTAGGTGCTTTGCTTTTTACCACAGTTATGAGAGACCTAATATTCCCAGCAGTGATGGGAAGTGGGAGGGATTTCACCAGGATGGGTTAGGGTTCCTTAATTATTTTTTATTTTTTTGCAATATTTCAGTTAATTTATAAAGGGAGCACGAAAATGCCAAGAATGAAACAAGAGGACGGTTTGTCAAAGACACTTTAGATGAGGAGTCGGCGGGATAGATGCAAGCCAGAGGCAGTACTGTAAGCTTTCTTTTCTTGTGTTTCTTTTTTTCTCTACTTTGTGTTTTAACAAAGGGTGGATGCTCCAAAGTTGGTGAAATGTTCAGCAGATGGTTGTAATGTATTCGACGGCCTTTAATGCACCAGTCTAGACCTCTTATCTGCTGCGTAGCAACACGAGGGGCTCCTCCGCTCAGTGGCTCGGACTTAGACCCATGTAGATAGTTTTAGCTCAGATGATCATATCTAGCCTTACAAGAAGACCTTGTTTAGTCTTAATATGTTGTTTACAGGACGTTTGCATGCATGTTCTACCCATGTTCGCCTTATTTACGTTGCTGTCACATCTCAGCTGGCTAGGCAGGATCGAAGCCGCAGCGGGAGAGAAGCTGTGTGTATATACGGTTATATTTTCACAGAAAATCTTTCTGTGTCTTTCCTCATCTACATTCATTGTTAAAAAAAATACTGATGAACCTTTTTATATATGATTATTCTTTTATTGCCCTTTCTGAAAGCTCATCTGTATATATTTTGACAATATTTTATTTTGCTGTTTGTTTTGCATGTCCGAGCCGCGTTGTTGTTGGAGGACTGTAGTTCACACAGATATTCTTGACTTGAAAATGTGGTGAATTCTTTCAATATTTTTTTTTTTTACTGAAATAAAATATGTATATTTTCACAGAAAAAAGGTGAAGCTGGTCTTACTTGGAAAAAAAAAGAAAAAACAGAAGATAAAAGGATTGTTTTCTAATGCATCTTTATTATTTCACAGCATACAGATGATCATAAAAGCTTTGCTGTGCACGTATTTCCCAGCAGGTGATGGTAAAGTGGAGAAAGAGGAGCCGGCTCTGCTCGGCGCCACACTCTGCCCATGTGAACCGACTGTTGCAACACTCTGGGTAACGTGTGGCCCCGCGAGACAAAGCAGCTTCCTCTTTTCTCTCTCCGACTTCCTGCGATGGACGCCCTGCCGGGCTCCTCTCGGCTCCCTGAAGCAAACAGTACACTCATCCATAAAGTAGGAAACACTACACTGTGGCGAGGAGTTTAGTAGTGCTTTCTACTTTATGGATGACTGCACTGTACATCCAGCGTTCCTCTGCGGTCTTCCTTCTTCTTCTGCACCTGTTTGGGTTCCTGCAGCTGCACCAACCCCCATCCTCTGATGTCTGTCAGCCCGAAAAACCTCACGTCTCAACTGCTTCTATGCAAAACCAGAAAACGTTCACTTCCTGGTTTGTCATGAAACATCGGTATGCATGGCCTACTTCGAATGCAAATCAATGATTCGCTAACATGTCAAACCCCAGAGCAGACAAAGAAAATGACCAAAATCAGCCTGAGGACCCCACCCTTCCATTTCTTTTTTTTTTTTTTAAGCTTTAGAGCAGTTTTAAAGCCGACTAGCAGCGGAAGCGCTAACCCTAAGGAAGCCATTTTGTAAGACATGAGTAAGCTTTTCTGTCTGCTTCGTGGTTCGCTCAGAAGTTAGTCGAAGCAGGGTTACAAATTTAGCTATCTACAGATACCATGACGATACGTTTACAAATTCATTAAAGAAAACATTTTTGGTTTAAAATGCTTAACATAAACAGTAAATAAGCTTTAAAAATAAACAGCAAAAGACAAAAAATATATACAAAAGGTTCGAGAAGTAACAAAGCAAAAAAAAAAAAACTTCTATCACCTCGATAGAAATAATCTTGATTGAATTGATGAATAAAAAGGCGTCATCTTCCCCTCATACTTTACCTCAACCTTTTTTCTATCGATTGCCTAGTCAAAGCGACGATCCCCCCCCCCCACCGGCCTTGCAGGTGTCTTCTGTCCGTCCAAGGAGTGAGTGAAGAAGAAGAAGAAGCTCCCTCCTTTTGAAGCCTCCTCAGCCACGTGACGCCACCCACAGGAAGAGGTTTAACAGTCACAGGCTGCTCTTCCGGCCCTCTCTTTGCCTCTCTGCAGACACTGCTCTTTTTCCCCCCCTTTTTATAAAAAAAAAAAAAACACTTTACATTTTATTACAAAAAAGAAAAATCTTAAATCTAATGATGAGCACGCTTTAATTGGTTCTTAAGTCGCCTCAGGCTGGTCGCTCAGGTCACACCAGAACATTCTGACATGTTTGAAAAAAGGCGATTGCAACACAGCTTTGTTCTCACAGGTGGACCGGACACTTTCACCAATTTAGGTCAACATTAAAAAGGTTTAAGATTTAATGCTCTGTGCTGCATGTAATGAATATTAGCTGTTCTTTATTGGGAGAAGGGGGGGTGCAGCAGTCAGACTATGGTGCAGTTGGTGTTGGTGGAGCATTTCCTGTGAGATGATAATCTAACCCTCCTTCACTCCCTTTATTGTCTTTGTTCTGAAGCTGTTTGTTATTTTAAAAGTCATTTAGATTGAATATCTTCCTTTACCTGGAAGAATACATTAAATTCATCTGGTTAGTCCAAATGTTTAGGTCCTTTTGCCGATGAAGCAATCTTCGAACATAGTGTGCTGCTTATCATATAGATTAACATTCTGGTTGTCTGCAGCGAAACACCACAGGTTTCAATTCCCCCCCCAGTACTGCTCGTTCTTTAACCTGGAAGTGGGTGTTTGAGTCATGCAGCCCGTACCCTACCAGGTAGGGATATAATCTGGGTAAGTATCAGATGGATGCCTCCATAAAGATAAACCAAACTTTAAACAAAAAAGGTTGTTCCTTTTGTTTAAAGTTATTTTATTGAGTTCTATCCCATTTGGACGTCACTGCCAGTCAGCTGGCTGAACAAAAAAGGTTTCCACCTCTCTTGCAGGAAAGTCTTTTGCTCTTTGGAAATACTTCTGGTTGCATTAAAGAGTGTAGAAACAGGAGCTGCTGGTTTAAAACTACAGCTTTCAAGCAGAATGTCTGTTAAGCAGCCAGCTGCTAGGATGAATTTAGCAATGACTGACCTAATAACCATTTGATTGCACCTTCTGATACTTTTATTTCTTGCTGAAAAGCAGAAAATGTTTTTCAAAAGCTTCACTTAATGATGCAGATTTATAGTCCATGTTGTGCGAAAATCCAAATAGAAATAATTCTATAATTATGTTATGAACATGTTTTATTGCTAAGCATGAATAGAAATTATTTTTTTTTACTTTTCTTTGCTCTTCTTGCATAATTTTCTTTTAAGGAACATCGTCTGTAACCATTTCAAACCTACATTAGGCAAACCGAGCAGCACATGTGTTAAGCAGCTGCCTGACCACCTAATATCAGTTTCCTGTTCTCCATGAAGCACCTTTGCTTAAAAAAATAGTTGTTGAATTTAATCAGGATTTTCTCTAAAGTCTATTGACATAAACAAAGCAAGAAACAACTTCTACATTAACTTTCCAACTTATCATTTATTTTAGAAGTAATGTTTTCTTTCCAGTTTTCATTAAAACATGTTACTAACTCCTAAAATATGACAACCTTTTTGAAAGACCTGGATTTTTATTACGTATTAAACTGCAACAGTAAGTAGTTTATAGAGAGAACTCATTTTCAGCTTATCAATTAAATATCCCTGAACAGTTTTATAGGGCAATGCATTTATTTAGGTCTTTTTCTAGTTTTGAATATCTATAACGGTTACCTTAGAACATTTTTAGTAGTGTTAAATATTGCTGCAGAATCTCTGTGTCTTTATAATAAGCTTTTTTTATATATTCTCCTGCCAAATCTTTCATATCTCTTTATCTACCGATCATATAAAAGACTTTTAATATGAAGATAAAGCATAAAAACATGATAACATCTGTTATTTGAGTTATTTGAGTTTTAAGGAAACAAAATTCATGACTGCAGGGTTATGGTTAAATTCCCTTTTATGTTTTAATAACCTGTTGTAATGTTAAAGCCATCAGAATAAAAGATTACTACACGTTTAGATATAAAAGGCATATAGTTGTAATAAAAAGGCCAAATAAAAATATCTAGACTTAAATGGTCTTAAGTGTAAATACTTATACTGATGTAGGTCTGTGCTAAATGCTAAGAAAATACGGGATGAATAGATTAACTTATCTAGTGATTGTTAAAAAAAAACTGTCATAAAAACTGAAGTACTTATTGTTTAATATTTCTTTTGCAAAAAATAAAAAAAAAGAGTAAAATTTTCTATTAGCAGAATGCTAAGGCTAACTTGAGTTAGCTGGTAGCATCCGCTAAAGCTAACAATAGAAAACCTTTTTTGTTTTGTTTTTATGAGGTGGACAGAAAGATGTATTATAGTAGTTTATTTAACCTAAAAGGGCTTATTTGATGAAATAAAAAAAACAAAACAATTAAATAATTAAAAGGAACAGCTAAACTCAAAATGTCCTGATAAAAGCTAATTAGCTTTTTTTCCAGTGTCAAAGTGACAATTAAAAAACAGGTTTATCATAAAAAAAATATAAAGTGAATATCATAGTTTGATCTTTATAAAATATATGGTACAGGTTTTGACCCTTTTCTTTACAATTAGGCGCATATAATTTAAATCTTTTATGTATTTAATTAGACTAGCCCACAATAGTGAGTCATTGTGAAGTAGAAGTGAAAGGATAATTTGATTTTACTTTTATCTTTAAAATAAGACTTGAAAAAAGTGTGGGACGTGTTGTTTTCTGTTCAACTCCTTTTTACTGTTAAACCCCCTCGCTGAAGTCTAACAAGACTTTATCAATGTGGCCAACTTTTCTGGAGCTTTATGTCAAAGGCTGACATCTCTGAATAAATTCAAATTCACTTCCTTCAGGAGTCAACTAATGAGTAAGAGGTCTCTTACATTTAATGTTATCTTTGTATAAATTCTTCTTTTCTGTAAAGAATGGGATAGAGAATGCTGGTGAACAAACAGCATGAAAAAGAGGAAGTGATCCTCCTAAACATCCACCTGCTGCTTGAACCACATTTAAAACTGGTTCCAATACACTTTCCACATTTACAGAACTTTTAAATAACTTTCTGTTGGTTTTCCACATAAATATTACCATTTTAAAAAATGGTAGTTATGAGACTCTGACAAAATATGGAAACTTTAAGACTATATATCTATGTAACACATTATAAATCTAATGTTTGTGGCTCAGAACCAATGTGATAAAATAACACTGGTCCTCATGTGTTGCCTGTCCTCCATAGATTTAGCCTTTACACTGCAAAAACGATCTAGAAATAAGTTAAAAAAAAAAAATCTTAAATTAAGTGTATTTAGCCTTAATTCGAGTACAGTAGGTAAATGAAATAGTTTGCCAATGAAATGAGTATTTCCACTCAGAAAATAAGATAACTAGATAAAATGCACTTGAAATAAGTCAATGCAATTGTGTTTTCTTATTTTAAGCATAAATTGTCTTGCTCCATTGGCAAAATGTCTCTTTTACCTCCTCAATCCAAGAACAAATGCACTGACTTATCTAGATTTCGATTTTTTTTTTCCAGTGTAGGAAGACATCCCAGCTCCTTGTGTGACCAGTGGAGCAATGCTTTCCCAACACGATGCTGCCTCTCCTGATAGACCTTATCTGGGCTGTCAGCCACTTCCACTCCCTGCTCCCAACCCCCATGAAGCTGCTGTTGGGTGTCGACACCACCGAACCACCCTGGCCTCTCCTGGACCGAGCAGCTTCAGTAACTCAGCTCACAAAATA